ACATAAAGTCCTGGGTTTGACCCTTAGCATCTTACAAAACTGGATGTACTGGCTGGCCATGCTGCTAATCTTAACACTTAAAGATAGAGACAAAATAATCAGAAGTCCAAGGTTATCCTCAGCTACATAGGGAGTTTGAGACCAGTCTGGGCAACAGAAGACTCTGTCTCAAAAAGAAGTGGACCAACAGCCTGGCAACAATAATGAACATAATGAAATAACCCTGGGCCCCATTGGCACTGTGCAATAAACCTTCAGAATGCGGGGATTCCTTTTGTTCAGTTGCTGCCCAGAAGCACATCATTTGACCACTGGCAGACCTTTGGACAGAAATGTTCAAGAAGCATTGTCTTAGATCTATTGTTAGGCCTTAAAGGTTGTCATTGCTCCATTCTGTGGTGGTTCTCTGCTCTGACCCTAATATATATTATGAGAATCTTTTGCTAGGAGACACTAAGGATAGGAAACAGTTTTATTTTCAAACACCACAGATCAGGCTTTTAATATTTCTTTTAAATGTTGCTAAAAATATGAAGCTGCTTCATAACAGCATTATTTACATGCCTAATGCCTACTCGTAAATGAATAAATAAAATGAGGAATATCTCTCATCTTTCAAGAAAGGAAATCCTGATACATGCTACCACACGGATGAATTGAAGCATTACCCTAAGCAGCATGGGCCACCAATAAAAATGCAAGAGGAAAGAAACAAAAATTAGAGAGGTGATTCTGCTCTAGGAGCTGGGCAGGAAGGGGCATGGTGAATTGCAGTGAGTGTAGTCATAATTCTGCAAAAGCAAGAGGCCTGTCGGTTGGCTGTACAATACAGCAGTGTGAAAATGCTTAATACAACTGACTTGGATATTTAAAAGTTGTTAAGTTGATAAATTTTGTGGCATGTATGCTTTAACAACACAACTATAAAGAGATTTAAAAAAAGAGCAAAAAGTAGCTCTTTGTCAGTTAGAAGGAATCAGACAGTTCTTCCTCCACATTTGCCTTAGAGTAATGATCAGAATATATTGGATGAAAAAAAATCTATTTTCAATAACAAAAAATTACATACTATTAAAATAAAGTGTGCTGAAATACAGAGTTGATGAAAGCAGGGGCTGGTAGATCAATTGATCAGTTACATCAGGTCATCCCTTCCACCAATAGTTAACCAGAACAGACTCTGAGTCTGCGGGCTACTGCCATAACAAAATATGTGGCACTAGTTTTGGGTCAAGCTGGAACCTGTTGGTGACTCTTGAAAGACAATGAAGAGCTGGGTGGTTGGTTATACCTTTAATCCCAGTACTTCGGAGACAAAAGCAGGTGGACCTCTGAGTTTGAGGCCAGCCTGATCTACAGAGTGGGTTCCAGGACAGTCAGGGCTACACAGAGAAACCCTGCCTGAAAACAAAACAAAACAAAACCCAAAACGAAACAAAAGGACAACGTGGGAAGTACTATTGCAGGTAGAACAAAAGGGACATTGTCACACAATAGGTAGGAAGTGTGACAACGTTGGCCTAGTAATGACCTGTGAAAATATGAACATACCCTTCAGTGGGCCCCGCCAAGGTATGCGGCTAAGCAAACACGCCATGCACAAGAGTTTGTGCAAGAGGTTTATTGGGGAAAGGGGGAGGGGGAAAGGGAAGAGTGAAAGACCATGTCAGAGTGGAGACGTGAGAGAGGTAGGCAGACAAAGAGACAAGAGGAAGAAGAGAAGCAAGAGAGGAGCAAGAGGCAAGAGAGACGAGAGAGCGAGCTGTGCTCTGGCGGACACTTCAAAGGGCGCACATGTCATAGCGGGTGGTGGAAAGGCACCTGGCGACAGGTGATGGCGTAGCTGCTTTGGTGGCAGAGGCAGGCTGCTACTTGGGCGGAAACTAACAGTGAGGGTTAGTTTTGGTCAGCTTGACACAAGTAGAGTCACCTGGGAAGAGGGAACCTCAACTGAGGAATTGCCTCCACCAGGCTGGCCTGTAGGCAAGTCTGCAGGACATTTTCTTGCTTGATGATTGATGTGGGAAAGCCCAGCTCATGGGACAAGGTGTCACCCCTGGGCAGGTGGTCCTGGGTTATAAAAGAAAGCAGGCTGAGCAAGTCAAGGGGAACAAGCCAATACGCAGTGTTCCTCCATTGTCTCCGCTTCAGTTTCTGCCTCCAGGTTCCCGCCTCAGCTTCCCTTGGTGATGGACTGTAAAGTATAAGATAAATGAACCCTTCCTTCTCCCAACTTGCTTTCTGGTCATGCTGTTTATCACAGCACCAGGAAAATGAGTTCAAACACTAAGTTATTGCTGTAGCCAGTTGGGGGATAGAATTAGCCTCTGGTAATACTTTGCGCGTCCGTGGTGTGCATCCATCAAAAATTATAATACATCTGTCAGGACAAAGGTCAAACTATTATGAATGTGTAAGCTCTGAACTTTATAAACTTCACACTGGGACCACCACCTGGAACAAGGCCAGACAGAACCAAACCGCTATTATTTAAAAAGCTGTTACTCGGGTTAGAGATGAAGATCTGAAACCAGTTAGTGCTGAAACCAGTTAGCGGCCCAGTTAGTGCTGAAACCAGTTAGTAGCAATGGGACAGAAATGTCAGAATACACGAAAAATGTGGGAAGCCAGCTTACAGCACTTGGCAGTGGCTCTCACACGAAAGCCTATTCACGGTGACAGAATATTAGAACTGTCAAGGATGAAAGGAATTTGGGGCTTGTTCTAGACGCCTCCCCCCCTCCCCCCCCCCGCGCCCAGCAACAAGTAGGGGAACACACATTGGTCTGTGGAGCACCAAGGGGCTTAGGAGTACAGCATTTGTTGTTTTCCAAACTCTGGAGCTCACCAATAGGCTTTTTCTGGCCCTCATTTTCCATCCCTGAGACATTTAAACCAGTCATTTCCTGGCGGCCTGTGGAGCTTCCTGGATGTGGAAGGAAGAAACAGCACTTCCGCCCCAGAGACTTTGCCTCAGGGACTCAGGGTGCAGGCATCCTGGGGATGTGAGCTGGCCTCTGAATGGGGGATCTTACGCTTTTGGGTCTCTGCGTTCTGTTCCTTCAAACTGTCTGCTGTTCCACAGTAAGAGAGCTATCCCCCTAACCGAGTCTCCCTAAACGTCACCTCCCTCTCCGGAAGTCTGCAGCACCTTCCCCAGGGCTCAGTGGGTCTCCAGGCACCAAGGAGGCCCTAATGAAGATGAGTCAGCGCTGATCTCCCATCTGGTGAACGCATGGCTCATTTACCTCTGGTGGTTTGTAGCGAACCTAAAGTGCTTCGTGGCTGGGTTGAAAGTCCGCGGCGACTTTTTGATTTCTATATACGAACTTGAAATTATGGGAGAGCGTTCTCAACCAGTACGCTACTTATTTCGGAAGCCAATTTTCTTCAAGGAAAAACTGCAGAATAATGGCAGCCTCCTGCAGTTCCCACTGGTGACCATGGTGCTGAGCGAGCAAGACATTTGGCCCGTCTTGCCACTAAGCTCTTGTTGGTGTTGCAAATAGCTGGGAAAAAAACAAACAAACCCTGAACTCATTATTTCTAGCAGTTTTGACACAAGTAAAAATAGGTTTTTGGTTAATTTATGCTTTATAATGAGGCATTCAAGGGAGAATACTAAAATGTAATAGTCAATAATAATAGTCCAGTGGGAAACCTCTTGATGCTGGTGCTGAAAGGTGTGGATATGAAGGGCTGTAATTATTCCAGTGGTAATTTTATCTGGGTCTCCTCTCATCCCTTTGGCCTGTTCCCCTCCACCGTAACATTTCTTCCTTTGTAATGTTTCCTGTCCTAGTTTGCCGAGGTAAACACCATGAACAAAAACAATTTGGGGAGGAAAGAGTTAATTTGGCTTCTATGTCCCAGATCACAGTCCATCACTGAGGGAAGCCAAGTCAAGAACTTGTAGGCAGCAACTGAAACAGGGACCATGGAGGAATACTACTTACTGGTTTGCTTGCCATGGTTTGTTCAGCTTGCTTTCTTGGATAGTCCAGGACCATCTGCTCAGGGATGGTACCACTATATTGGACTGGACCTTCCCCCATCAATCATTAACCAAGAGAATGCCCCACAGTCTAGCCAACCACTCAATCTGAGTCAATCTGATAGAAGCGTTTTCTCAGTTGAGGTTCCCTCTTCCCAGATGACCCTGGCCTCTGTCAAGTTGACAAAACAAAAACAAAAACAAAAAAACAAACCAGCACATATTGTAGAATTTATTATAACTATCATTCATTATCTGTCATGTGCACTATGTCAGAAACATAGATGGATATGTTTGTGTCTACCCACGATGTCAGAATTTATTGACTAATACGTTTATAACATTGGTGGTGTTGGCAGTGGTTTGCCAACAACTCTTGATAGCTGGTCAAAGTGAGCACAGGTTCTTTTATCCTAATCTTAGCTACTAATACTAATTCCTATATCATATATTTTACAGCACATTGTACATACCCACCTAATCTATCATCTATGCATTTATGTAACTTATAGAAGATCAGTGGAAAGAGATGCTTTTTATTCTGTTACCTCCCTAGTTACCCCCAACCTCTCTGACCTCCCACCACAGTATGAGGATTATAGCAGTAGAAAGAAATGAGATTAATATTTGACCATATTCACTTTAAAGAAGGTATTTTTGGGGCAGGTGTTATTTTAGAGTCAAGTTTTCTGCTATTTCCACAATCATATTGTCTGGTTTAGTCAATCTTCAGCTATTTACTGAGCACCTGTTATGTGCCAGGTCCTACACGAAGTGGCCAAAGATGGTGAAAGTACCAAGTCCTTACCTTTGCAAGCTGAACAAAGTGAGTATTTGCTGGTTTGTCCTCCTGTGTCTCTTCACTGAGTAAGCCTGAGTTAAATCTTAGTGGGTAGTGCGAACAACTTAGGACATTCTTTACATCTGTCTGATTTCCAGGGCAGAACATGCTTAGAAAATTTAAAGGCTCAGATTAACTTTTTTCTTTTTATCTTTTTCATTTTAGGGGTGTGATGAAAGTTGATATAAATCTTCAGAAAGTGGACATTGACCAATGTTCGAGTGATGGCTGGTTTTCAGGAACTCACAAATGCCATCTTAACAACTCAGAGGTAAGAATACCAGGATTAGATCCTCTGAAATTGGAAGCAAAGGCTTGAATGGTTCTCACACATGTTTTATTTGTGTGGGTGAATGACCATGAGAATCCTAATGAGAAAACAGAATCTGTACAGATCTCAGTTCTGTCAAATGAACCGAAAGAGGAGAGAAAAGAACATTTTTACAGAGTAACTGTTTGGGGGACTCTTTAGACAAGGCGAAAAGCAAGGTTGTGGCTGAAATTTGACTTTAAGTAAAGGCTGATTTCATTCTTCAAAATGAGCTAGAAATGTGCAACAATCACGAAATGAGAAAACAGTCCCGGCGGGACCAAACAGAGCAAGCGTCTTTTAGTGCACTGCGATGCTTATTGTCACATTTGTGGGATCCATTCAGACATGTTGCCATCTGCTAAAATGTAGTAGAGCAGGTATGGCAGGGAAATTTGGAAAACAAGGAGAGAATTATACACAGAGACCTGGAAAGGGATTGGTTACAGTTGTGCATATTTTCCTCCTTCCCACTCCCACCCGTGCTTGATTGTTTCATTTATCTATTGAGAAAGAACCAAGATCATACTTCTGCAAAATATTGGTCGTTTATGTTCAGGAAACTTTGACAATAGCAATGACCCTTGTCACTTGCCTTTTGCAGTTTCAAAGGAGAAATGTGATGGCATACTAATGAATATCTTCTCACTAATCTGTCTCTAAGGTCCAAAAATGCTGTGAAAAAACGCACAGAATTCCAGTTTTCTGATCGTTAACACTTGGAATATCCCAATGTTGACTCCAAAAATTTGTAAGGAAAGTTGACTCAGTTTACTTTAAATAGGAGGGTGTTTTTACAAAGTCATAACCAACATCTTTAATTTGAACTTTTTCCAGTTGTGAATGGCAGTTGTGCACAGTGTGTATATGTTTGCCACTAAGTACTTCTTTGTGCCAATGTGGTTATAGGTGGTATATGTATGAACATATATGGATATAATCCCCTTGCATGTGCATCATGTGCACACCCAACAAACCATGCTATTACACATCACTCAGATACCACCAAGATCATCATACTCCCAATAATCTGCCAAAGTCCCACACTCCCCTACACATCACACATAGCTTTATCCATGCCCATTCTCTTTATCACAACATCCCTCAATTCTCCCTCCCCCAGTACCCTGGCACCTCAATACTCTTCCATGTCCCTCTAAATCCAGTGGTTCTCTACCTTCCTAATGCTGCAACCCTTTAATACAGTTCCTTATGTTGTGGTGACCCCAACCAGAAACTTATTTTCGTTGCTACTTCCTAATTGTAATTTTGCTACTGTTATGAATCATAATGTAAATATCTGATATGCAGGATGGTCTTAGGCAACCCCCGTGAAAGAGTTGACTCCCAAAGAGGTCACAACCCACAGGTTGAGAACTGCTGCTCTAAATCTATTCCAGCTCCATCGTGTTCCTGCAATGCCATTTCACCTCCTTAGTTCCTCACACATGTTCTCACATCTCTTCCATGTCTATATACCCCCACAAAGCCAAGCTGCTATAGCTCATCTTTTTACCTCCACTCCTACCTGACTGGGTCTTCATATGTATGATTCCTTTTGCTTTGGTAAAACCTTCTGCCCCTATTTGGTCCTCCTATGGTTTTGAATGTTTCTGAGGCTTTACTTTCCTCTGGATGACTCTGGCAGTTTCAAGCATATCAGCTTCAACTGATGATTGGTGATTGTCCTAACTTGGTTATTATGTCCATGGCAATTGCGTATGACCACTTTGCATTGTCTTTAGCTAGCGTGGGTGTCTCCCCGCCCCCGATGTTCCACTGTGGCTATTGGTCTAAGAAGGACCATTTCTAGGCAGCCTTGCTTTGGTGTGGGTACTGGCTTCAGTGAATAGTCTGTCTAGAAACAGAAAGATGGACCCTTTTCAGCTTGTAATAATCTTTGAGCCATTTTTCTTTCCGTATGGAATTCTTTTTTTTTTTTTTTTTTTTTTTTTTTTTGATACAGGGTTTCTTTGTAGTTTTGGTGCCTGTCCTGGATCTTGCTTTGTAGACCAGGCTGGCCTTGAACTCACAGAGATCCGCCTGGCTCTGCCTCATGAGTGCTGGGATTAAAGGTGTGTACCACCACCACCTGGCTTGAAATTCATTTTTTTAACTAGATGATTATATTACCAATAACTACTTTTAGAAGACTGATTTATTTTCATTGCACCAGCAATATTAATTTTCTGAGTCTTGCGTATTTTTAGAGCTTTCAAATAAATTATTTCAAGAAACAATACTGCTTTCTATTCCAATGAACAAAGATTAGGTTGAAATATGTGACTTTTAGGATTATATATTTTTATTATGTATTTATGTATTTATTAGTACATATATTTTTCTTATAGAAAAATTTGAAAAGCATATTCTTTAGAACAATTGACACTTCAATGACTTATTTGAAAATGTTGTAGCAAGAAGTTCAAGGCTCCAAAAGTAATATCAAGAAGCTGAAATGAGGGACCGAAGAGAGGGCTTGGTGGTTAGAGATTGGCTGCTGAGCAGAGGACCTGGGTTCAGTTTCCAGCATTCACATGGCCATTCACAACTACCTGTAACTCAAGTTACAGGAGATCTAGGGCCCTCTTCTGGTCTCTGCCAGTTCCAGGTACATATGTGGTGCACACACATACATGCCAACAAAACACTCAAACCCATAACGTAAGCTTTTTTTTTTTTTTTAAAGAAAGGAAAAAGTAAGACAATGCATATTTTGCCTTAGAACCTGCTCCCTTCCAGTTCTGTGGCTTTAAAAAATATTTCATGTCTAGTATCCTGCTATGAGTGAGTACATACCATGTTTGTCTTTCTGAGTCTGGGTTACCTCACTCAGGATGATTTTTTCTAGATCCATCCATTTGTCTGCAAACCTCATGATGCCATTGTTTTTCTCTGCTGAGTAGTATTCCATTGTGTATATGTACCACATTTTGTTTATCCATTCTTCAGTTGAAGGGCATCTGGGTTGTTTCCATGTTCTGGCTATTACAAACAATGCTGATATGAACATAACTGAACAAGTGCTCTTATGGTGTGGTTGAGCATTTCTTGGGTATATGCCCAAGAGTGGCATAGCTGGATCTTGGGGGAGATTGATTCCCAATTTTCTAAGAAAGCGCCATATTGATTTCCAAAGTGGTTGTACAAGCTTGCATTCCCACCAGCAGTGGAGGAGAGTTCCCCTAGCTCCACATCCTCTCCAGCATAAGGTGTCTTCAGTGTTTTTGATCTTAGCCATTCTGACAGGCGTAAGGTGGTATCTCAGAGTTGTTTTGATTTGCATTTCCCTGATGATTAGGGATGTTGAGCAGTTCCTTAAATGTCTTTCGGCCATTTGACATGAAACAAGGATGACTTGTCTGCTACTCACATCACCAGGGAGGCTACCTGGAAAACAGGACCCCAAGAAAGACACAGGGATCACCCAATGACAGAGAAATGGAATGAGATCTACATGAACAGCCTGGACATGAGTGGGGGTAATGAAAGGCGAGGGTTGAGGGAAAGAGAGCTTGGGGGAGCGGGAGATCCCAGCTGGATCAACAACAGAGAGGGAGAACAAGGAATAGGAGACCATGGTAAATAAAGACCACATGAGAATAGGAAGAAGCAAAGTGCTAGAGAGGCCCACAGAAATCCACAAAGATACCCACACAACAGACTGCTGGCAGTGGTCCAGAGACAGCCTGAACTGACCTACTCTGGTGATGGGATGGCCAAACACCCTAATTGTTGTGCTAGAAACCTCATCCAACTACTGAGGGATCTGGATGCAGAGATCCATGACTAGGCCCCGGGTGGATCTCTGGGAGTCCAATTAGCGAGAATGAGGAGGGTTTATATGAGCGAGAATTGTTGAGACCAAGGTTGGATAAAGCACAGGGACAAATAGCCAAATGAATGGAAACACATGAACTATGAACCAATGGCTGAGGGGTCCCCACTGGATCAGGCCCTCTGAATGGATGAGACAGTTGATTGGCTTGATCTGTTTGGGAGGCATCCAGGCAGTGGGACCAGATCTTGTGCTCATTGCATGAGTTGGCTGTTTGAAACCTGGGGCCTATGCAGGATTGTTTGGCTCGGCCTGGGAGGAGGGGACTAGACCTACCTGGACTGAGTCTACCAGGTTGACCTCAGTCTGTGGGGAAGGCTTTGCCCTGGAGGAGATGGGAATGGGGGGGGGTTGGGGGGAAGGTGAGGGGGACGGGAGGGGGGAGAACAAGGGAATCCGTGGCTGATATGTAGAACTGAATTGTATTGCAAAATAAATTAATAAAAAAAATATTTATTTAAAAAAAATTTTTCATTTTACATACCAACCATAGTTCCCCACCCATCTCTCCTCCTGCTTCCCCTCGCCTTCCTCCCTCTGACCCACCTCCCATCCACTCCTCCAGAAGGGTAAGGCCTCCCATGGGGAGTCAGCAAAGTCTGGTACATTCCGTTGAGGCAGGACCAAGCCCCTCCCCCACTGCATCAAGTCTGAGCAAGGTGTCCTACCATAGGGAATGGGCTCCAAAAAGTCAGCTTATGCACCAGGGATGGATCCTGATCCCACTGCCAGGGGCCCCTCAAACAGACCAAGCTACGCAACTGTCTCCAACATGCAGAGGGCCTAGTTTGGTCTCATGCAGGCTCCACAGTTGTCAGTCTAGAGTTCGTGAGTTCCCACAAGCTTGGTTCAGTTGTCTCTGTAGATTTCCCCATCATGATCCAGAACCCCTCTTGCTCATATAATCCTTCCTCCCTCTTTTTTACTGGATTCCTGGAGCTTGGCCTGGTGCTTGGCTATGGATCTCTGGCACCTGATTTCTTAATGGAGACTCTGAAAGCCAAAAGGACCTAGACAGAAATTATGCAGACACTACAAGACCATGGATGCCAACCCAGACTACTATACTCAGCAAAATTTTCAGTCACCATAGATGGAGTAAACAAGATATTCCATGACAAAA